ATTGACTTAGCAAGACTCTGTTTCAAAATAGAAAAGGGGATTGGGGATAGGGCGAAGGCGAAGACCCTGTATTCAAACCCCAGTACCCTGGAAGAATAAAATAAAGAACAAACTTTAGCAGCAGTGTCTTTCCCTCACTGGCCACGAGGTGGCCCCAAATTCCTGGGCTGGACAGGGGTTTATCCTGGGTGCTAGCAGTTTGCAGAAGGAAGGTGCAGGGCGGAGCTGGCCTGAGGTGTGGGGGGCCTGAGGGCAGTGATGCCCTGGGTTGGTCCAAGTTTGCTGTTGCTGTGGGCTGGGCTTGAAGCGGTCGCCAGGCCAGTCACAGATGACCTGTCCTGCGGGCAGCTGGCTCTCTGCGGGGCAGGCGGCGCGGGGACTCAACTTTAACAGCGCCTCTGACATCTGCTTAGCCAAAGGTTTACAGCACGGTCACCCTCAGTGTGACCGGAGCCCGAGAGGGCACTGTCCACTCCACACTGCGTCAGAGCCGCATGGACATGGACAGAAGGCCCCACAAGGCCGGGCTGCTTGGTCTTGTGGCCTCCTGGGGCAGGACAGCTGTCCCCAAGCCCCTGGCCACCGGCCCCCTTCAGGGAGGAGGCACTGACCTTGTGCTGGCCTGCATCCTGTCCTGAGCGCCGAGTCCCCCGCCTGCGGCTGCGCCAGCCGGCCGTGTCCCAGCGGCTCTGCGAGTCCACTGGGCCGCACCAGGCCACCCTTCCAGCGCGGGCTCTGCGCCACGCCGAGCACGAGGAGCAGACCTCCGAGAGCCCCCACCGCGCCCCGGTGTCCCCTCAGCCCCTCCAGCATCACCCCACAAAGGCGGGCGGCTTCCCTAGCCGAGGCCCTGAGGCTGGTGTAGTTTTAAGGAAGGGGCTGCCTGGACTGGCCGTGGGAGCTAGGGAAGCCTGTGGAGCAGATGGGCCCTGAGCGGGTTTCGAGAGATGAGTAGGAGTTTGCCAAGGGCGACTGCGGTACCGGAAAACAAGGTCCCGCCGGAGAGTTCAGGTAACACCCATCTCCCTTCACTGTCCAGAGAGTAAACTGACAATACACCGTTCACTCGCGTGCGCTCAGCTCCTGATGGCGCGGCTCCAGGAGCGGCGCGGCGGAGTCCGCTGGCAGAGGTCTCCGCTCCCAGACAGGCAGGCGCTGCCGCGGCCCGGGAGGCCTTGGGGGCGGGCAGGGCTCCGCAGCTTGGCATGAGGAGCTGCGAAGGTTGCCGGGCCCGCCCGCGCTGTCTGCTCGGGTCCGTGTGGCCTTGGCGCACGGGGGGCCCACAGGGGAGGGGGCACCCTGAGCGGCCCGAACACAGCGCCCACGCGCAGCTCTGCGTCCCGCCTGCCCCGGCCCAAAGCCTGGAGCAGCTGTGGGCGGGGCTGGTTTCTCCCAGGGGCCCTCCTCGGCTCCCGGCCAGGGTCTCCCTGTGTCTCCGTGCCTTATCTCTGCCTACCAGAGGCCCACCCTGCCAAGCCCACCTGACCTCAGCGGGGAAGGGCCCGGTGCCCAGCTCAGTGGCAGCAGAGAGCCCGGCTCAGGGTGTCACCCAGAAGCCCGGGGGGGGGGGGCACACCCAGGGTTGCAGGGCACGGTGCGGCCCACCTGCCTGAGCCTCCGCTTCCTTAACCCACATGAGCTTCAGCCACTTCAGCCGTTCGTAGGACGTGCTCTGCCTTGGAGGGAGGACAGCGTCCTGCCCTGTGTCCCCAGCCCGAGCCGCCCCTCCTTTCCCGCACCCCGCCCGAGTGCTGCCAGCGCTGCCGGCCGCGCCGCCCTCTGCGTCCCCTGCCTCAAGCCCCTTCCTCTCGGCCTCACCACCGCAAATGCGAGGGGCAAACCCGACACGTGTGTACACGTGTGCACGCGCACACGCGGTGTGGCTCTTCCCGTGACAAGCCCCACCGCGCTCCGCACACCACACACTGCTGTCTCCGTCGGCGCGCTTGGTCTTACCCATCTCTGTGGTCAGCGATTTCCAGGACCTTACAGGTGACACGCTAAGGGCAGAGACTGAAGCGGGGCTGCAGGGCCTCCCTCCTCCGCTGCCGCTCTGACTCCTTGCTCTGGTGCAGACAGGGCTGGCAGCCGTGTGCCGTGAACACTTTAAGCTATCTCATTTTCGCAGGACTCACGAGGCTGTCTTCTTGAAAGGCTGTTATCAACCGCGTTGTCTTTTTCTAGACCCTCGCTTGGCCTGCCCTCACCCCCGCCAAATGCGAAGCTAGAACATTCCCTTTGTTCTGACGCCCAGCACTGCGGACGTGAGTTTGGCTGAGCTGACTGCACACCTACAGTGCTGGAAACAGATCCTGCTTTTCCCCCGGGGTCTCTCTGATCCCTTGGATCCTGCAGCAAGACCACTTCAGTACCTTGCCTGGTCAGCAAGCAGCGACAGACAGGATCCGACCCCTGCAGGCCGCCGGCAGCTCCAAGCAGCAGCCACCCTGCCGGCCGTGGGCTCGTCCCCATGGCAGGGTGGGCACTGGCCACGGACACACCCGTGCTGCCTGGCACACAGCAGGCGTGCCGCAAAGCCTGGCAGGTCCTGGAGCCAGGCGCACCTCTGAACAGTACACCATGCAGTACCGGGTGATTAAACACACATCTTACCACACACACAAAATAACTCATCGCCAATAGATCTTCTACCACCAAATAACTGGAATTTCGTACTTTCCTTTTTTGCTGAATTAATGAAGCACCAATAAGCCCAGAAATATATTCAGTCAGAATTTATTCCGACAAATACCATGAGAAAACCAGGTAATTTAGTCAAGTGTTTGCCGCAGGGCGGAGACAGTCCACAGCACCTGTCACTTGTCAGCGGTGAGGACTCACAGCTGCGGGGCACGCCTTCCCTAGACCCACACGGAAAGTCACGAACTGACAGCTGCAATGGAGAAGCTGCCCCGCTGCCCCTCGCTGACCTCGCCTCCAGTGAACCTTCCTGAGCCTGTGCTGGTGTCCGATTTCCTCTAACACAACAGAGGTACTTGAGCTGCTGTTTGGAAAGGTTTTCTTCAAAGTAACTTTTGGCGTAGGGTAATAACCAGGTGCTATTAAGTTATGCACACTCCCCAGGCAGGCATGTCTCTGGGCTCGTTAGGTCTGGAAGTGCCCAAGTCATCTTCAGAGGGCTCGCACATGCCGCCGTGTTCCGAGAGGGCTGGCCCCAAGCTCTCCGCCTTCAGTGGCTTCCTCCACGGACGAGGTGATAATCTGATGGTGTCCTGGTTACTTCCCTCGTCTCTGGGACAGATACCCAACAACCACATGTTAAAGACGTTCAGTTTGTAGAGGCTTCCAGCCAGAGTCCACAGGCTCCGAGGCAGGGCGGCAGGGAGGCCTGGAGGGGAAGGGCCGCTCCTCTCACAGCGCCTAGCAGAGAAGGGTGGAGGTGAGGGAGAAGCACCCTTCGAGCCAGGCCTCACGTTCGCCGCTTCTGACAGGCCCTGCTCCCAACAGCAAGCAGCTGTGAGCCCCGGCCCAGGGCCTCCCACAAGCCCCAGTGTGGAGGACAGGCTGCACCCCACAGCAGGGGGCTTTGCTGGAGGTGACGGAGCACGGGACGAGCCAGGTGAATGGAGTGGGTCATGGGGTGACCTTGGGGACGCGACACGTCCAGTCCCGGGCTCCTTCCTCTCCCGCTTTCGGCCACCATGCCTGCCTCACCTCGCCACAGCGATGGGACAGCTGACCCTGGCCTGCAACCTCTCCTCCTTGGAGCTGCTGTCCTCGCGTATTTGCTCATAGCGACGATAAGCTGGCTCTCACCGCTCCGTGTGACTGCCCAACTGCCACACGGAATGAATTCATCACACACAAACTGCAAGAGAGGTCAAATGAAATCCCGAAGACAGTGTTTTAGTCATAACTCTTCTAAAATGAGTTATCTACAAAAAAATGCATAGTATTTAAATCAAGTCAAAAATTCAATTACATGGACTTTTACCTATATAATATCAAATCTCAACTTTCCAAATATCTGTTTGACCAAGGGACTAATTTCATCTTAACGCTTGGCTGTTATCGAGACTGTACACAATCATAATTATACTAAGTAACATTTGTAACAATCTTTAGTCTAAAAAGTACGTGTCATTAATAAAAACTGGCCTAAGAGGGAGAGAAAAATCTGCTTATGAAGAAAGATACATAATTTCATACAAGTTGGTATCTGGAGTATTTGACCAAACAATCTTTTACTCAAACTTCAATCTAAATAATTTAAAAGTATTGGTCAGGTTAAAATTTGTTTTCTTTACTGTTCGCAACTGTACACACAGAATACTAATTTGATAGACATTTCTGTCTTCACAAACGTAGGCCAGGTCTACATTCGTATCTACACTTGGGGAGGGCTGGGGATGTAGCTCAGTGGTGGAGTACTTGCCTAGCACGCACAAGGCCCGGAGTTCAATCCCCAGTACCACAGAAAAAGAGATGACCATAAATCTGATTTATGGTCACATAACTACACTTGGGGAAACTAAATAATTCTATTTTTTTTTTTTTTTTTTTGGTGAATAGTCAGTCTGATTCAGACATTTAACACCGCCCTATTAAGAAACTGTAAATATAAACCATGTCTATTATAGTCCATAACATTATGTAAAAAGAAATCGGTACCACTCATGGGAAAAAATCACAGGGAAAGGAGAGCTGAAAGACCAAGAGCAGCACAAGAGCCAGCCAGACTGGCCCTTCTCCTCGCCACGCTGGCCAGTTTCAGACTTCGGACACGTTCTCCCGATCACCGAATGACTGCACAGTTCCAAGCAGTTAATACTGGCCACAGGTTATGAACTACATAGATACGTGTATATAGCCAAAATATCATATTGTTTCATTATTTGTTGCATTGTTTTAAAAAGTTCATTCAATACTTTAAAAAATATATAGTATTATAAATTCAGAATACAGAGCCAATCATTAAGTCTGTTATGTAACAGAAAACTGTTGGTTAACATTTGAGTCACAAAGTGTTAAACAGCATAGACATCAGACGGCAAAAATCTTTATTTTGTTTCATTTTATTGCTTCCCTCAAAATACACCCTTTGCATATAACACAAACATGCACCCTGATGGCAGTCTTATAAAGAAAAGTTAAATAATAAGTAAGCTGTAAATCAAGAAGAATAATACAAACAAAAGCTTAAATGATATTGTATGAAAAGATTTATGGGTAGGCAGAGAGATTTTAATTTTGGAAGATGGGTAACTCAAGTCCAACTCAACACATGAAAGACAAACTTCGTCTTGATACAAAAATTTTTCCACACCCTTGTTTTTCCTCACCTTTGTGAGATGTGTACGAGCACAGACCCAAGAAACAGTGTTCAAGAGACCTAACGCAGGTGACTTTGCCTCGTTAAATTCACTTATACTCCACATAATTCCAATGACACTGCTTCTTAAAATTTAAAACTGGAGTATATCCATGATATTCAAAGTATCACTGCTTACATTTATTTTGATCTTGTCAGAAATAAGCTCTGAAATTAGCACTGTTTAAAAATGTATTTAACAAAGACACAGGGTTGATCTAAATTTCACTTTTCAAAAAAGAGAAAATTAGTTTGTCATGAAAGCACTTTGAGCAATTTTGACCTGTCCCCCACCTATCCCTAACCAGTTAGGCTAGCTGTACTCTGCGGGAACAGGTCTGAATCCTCGTACAGACATGGCAACACACAGAAAGCAACTCGCACCACCTGACTCTCCAAGGGTACTACAAGAGATGGCTTGTTTTCTGGCTTGGGAAAAGCGATATAACACAGTCAGACACAATTTCCTTCAGTTATTTTTTTCATTTTCTTTATAAGTCCACTGGTGCACTTCATCTGGGTCACTGATATAATTTTGCAAAAAACAAAACAAAACAAAAAAACAACCTAAAACCCCTAAGTAGTGAGCAGAAATGTTATTGTAAGGTCTGCAGACAACCATGTTCATATTGTAACATAAACCAGGGCAGGTCAGACTCCCAGAACTCCTCCTTGCACGGGTGTGCCGCCTCCTGAGCCCAGGCTTGGGAGACACAGATCACCGCCGCGCCCCACCAGGACGGGAAACGAGCAGACCCGCTCCGCGCGCACGGCTGCAGGAAGACGAACTTCTCTCAAGGGACGAACGCAGGACGCTGCCACTGCAGCCCCGAGCTCACTCCCCAGAGCCGGGGAGAGCAAAGCGGACCAGGCGACCCTGTGTCCCCACACTGCACGCAGCACCACGGAGGAGGCCGGGAGGGCGGCACAGTGGGAAGCCCCCGGGCGGCACAGGGGTGACCGCCACGGCGGGCGAGCCGCTTAAATCAGAAAGCAACGGGCACAAGGCACATGCCAGGCAACCCCGGCAGGGCGCCGGCAGGCTCCCGCCACCTCCGCCCCCGCAGGCTCAGAATCTGACAGAGAGAGGGTCACGCTGGTTATTCTGCTATAGAAGGTAACGGGAAACCTTAGCATTTTAAGCACTTATGGCACAGATGTTGGGAATTGCTAATAGCACAGTTTAACCCTTCAAAAACTAGGCAATTTAAAGTTCTGGTGCAATGCATCAGTTACAATTTTAAATTAAACTTCATTTTGACATTTTCTACCTTATTCTTTTGTGCAGACTAAAGGGTACGCAAATTAAGTGATTTCAACACATATTAAGTGGTAATTATTTTGCAAATATGAAGCAAAACCAGCTAACGATGCAATACAATAAAAATGCACACTGAACAGAGCTTCTGTCCTGTAACACTTCTTGCCTTTTCCCTGGGCGTCTGGACACGTGAATGCACTTTCTTCACCAACTCACAGACACCAAGCAGAAAGCCAAGGGTTACACAGTGAGGCGGAACACCTCCGTGGTGACAGTTTGGAGTTGTCAAGTTGTCAGACATTGAAAGTAACAAATATAATGAAATATGCTACAAAGTAATGTTAAAATATGCCATCTGAGTTAGAAAGCAATAGCGAGTTACAGTCTTAACAGCTGTCAGGTGACATTAGTTCATGGGATATGTAAAGAACAGCATGAACTCCACTTAGCTTTGACCTTTTCAGTAGCTCCTGCACTAATGCTAAAAAAAGTTTGCCCAAAATCAAATGCATGTTGGCTTTTGTATAAATTCCATTTTACCCGCTGTTCAATCAACAAGGCTTTATTTACACTCCTTGCTGAATCAGGAAGCAAGTGGATGTCGTGTCGGGCTGTCCGTGAGGGACTGCCACCCTCATGCTCTGACGGAGACCCACAGGCAGCCGAAGAGCGTCCCGCAGACACACGCGTTCACGTACAGTTTCCTCCCGGCCTCCGTCATCAGCAGGCCGGCAGTCAAACCGCTCAGGAACAACACTGACGGTAAAGTCTTCCTGAGGCTTAGTTTCGAATCAACACTTTTCCCAGGAAATTTGTTTCTTCTTTCTGGATCTGGTGATTCGTAGAATTCCATAAGTAACCTGTGCCCAGAATGAAAACAGTAAAACTTAAAGTTCCTGTTTTAGTATTCCAGTACATAAGCTCAACGAGCGACCTGCCGGGTACTTCGGTGCTGGGAAAGGCACAGGGTCCCGGAAAGCAAGGCTGGCAGAGGAAAGAGCCGAGACTGCGTAAGAGGGCTCTAGTCCTTCAGCATCTCCTCGATGCTTCACACACATTGCAGTGCATCACTGCTGCTTTACGACACCTTCCAAAACACGAGGTCTCCCAGCGTTTGCTGAGGACTGTTACAAACACTGCCCTGCTCAGTCCTGTCAGGCCTGCTCTCCCCGCCCCCAGCTCCAGGCCACCAAGGTCAGGGCCAGCAGCAGGGGGACGGCAGGCCCCGCCCCAGGCCCCGCCCGCCTTGGCAGTGTGAGGGTAGTCTGAGAGGAACACGAGGTCAGTTCATTCTCCCCTCTGAAGGATGATAGCAGCAGCACACAATACAGTAACTACAAATGCAAACTGCAGGAAAGTGCCTCCTCTATTGCCTTACAGCTTAAAGTTCTAAGTGAGATAGTAACACATTTTTCAGTCTTTTTTCTGAAAACAAGTTTCACATCAGTACACAGATCTTAGTTTTTAAATTAAATTTTTTCCATAGCCAAAGAGGCCCTGAATGGCTGGCTTAATAAAATAGGTCATGTCCAACTCTGTGTCAGTGACACAGAAAAACTGAACATGAAAACTCATTTTCACCATGTTACGTTTTCAGTAATTCTCACTTAAGGCAGCCCAGGAGGACTAATTCTGAGAGAGTCTAAGAAACACATGGAAAGGAAGAACTTCTCCAAAGGAACAGCAGCCCTGGGGCCCCTGGAGGAAGCCTAAGGCGTCGCATGCTCCCGAGCTGCTCACAGCGGAGGCCCACGGCCCAGGTCAGCGGTGCCGGCCCCAGGGAGCTCGCCTGGGCCAACACTGGCACGCGTCCCAGAGCACCATGAGCACGCCAGAAGCGTGGGCAGCACCAGAAGGAGCTCAGGGGCCGCAGACCAACAAGGGAAGACGGCGTGGAGCGGGCCTGCCCCGCCGCTGCCTGCCGCCCCATGCCCGCAGCTGGCGCTTGGACAGGCGGGCTGTGGCTGCTGGTCTTCAAGCCCCGCCCTGCCCTGCGCTCCGGCCTTGCGTGGGAAAGGCGGGGTGGGCTTTTGCTCACTTTTCTGTCTCACACCCGGGGACAGGCCCATCGCAGTGAGCTCTTCTGCAGCGACTGGGAAAGCCAAGTGTAAACCACGGAAAGGGCCGCGTGGAGGGAGGTCTGGCTCGAGTGGAAGGTGGTGAAAGGTGCAATCCGTCTCGAGCGGCATGCTCAGTGAGACGGAGGTGCAGCGCGGGAGCGCGGCTACTCACTTGTCCTTTTTCTCAAAGCGCTGGTGCAGCCATCTCTTCATGGAGTCCTGTTCCTCTGGGATGTCTTTTCTGTCGATACGATCGATGTGAATATGAATTTTTGGACAGTTTCTGCAGAGGAATTCTAACAAAGAGGAAATTTGCCTTTTTAATGTTTTGGAAACCATGGTTAAATAACGTTATCTGTCCAATGAAAACGAGGCCCAGCTCTCCACGGTGGGCAGCTGCTTTCTACATCTTCCAATCCCAAGTTTTTCTCCCCAAGCTACAGTGAAGTAATCTTATTATTATGAGACAGAAGAACCACTGGACAACTGTACTCTCTCACTGTCCTCCGTAAACCTTGACCCCAGGCAGCACACACAGTGTAGGAGCAGGCGATTTAACAGTGCTGGGACAACACCCAGGTGGCTGGGGCACAGCTGCTGAAATGATTCCCACCCTTGCTGACATCTGGGTGCCCCGTGAGGTCTGCTTCTGCACACTAAAAACACTCTCCCGTGCCTTCCAAAGGGCCGCCCTCAGAGCACACTCACCTGCTGAGCGGCCGAGTGCCCTGGACACAAGCACCGTAAGCGTGAGCGCGCAGCGCACCTCCGGCAGCTGCCACAGCCTCGCACGCGGGTTGCACGACGGATCAGGAAGGAGACGCGGTGCCCAGGCTGCCCTGCCTGCCTGCCTGCCCCAGGCCTGCCCCGCTGCAGCCAGGACTGTCTTTGCTTGTACTTTCCTAAATGATTCTGCTCATTCAGAACTCTTTTTCTTGTTACAGGTGACACAGATAATACCTCTAAGTCCTAAAAACCTCGTACCTATTTGAGAAAGAAAAAAGGCATCTTTCTTACTGTCAGATGGCACTAAATGCCACAAATATCCCATGCAAACTCATTTAAAGAGGAGCACAGGCAGTCAGCGCACACCTCAGTGTCACAGCAGGGCCTGCTCTGCCCCTTTGATCTGCGGCGCTCCCCACGCCTGTGCGTACATGCTGGGGAAGAGGCCAGGGTAGAGGCTTCCAGGGTGCTTACACGGCAGCCAGGGTACAGCGCAGTCAGCACGAGCAGTGAATGTCAACTGTGACAGGTGAGGAGCACCTCAGGAAACCGTCAAGGAAATGCAGGGAGCACACTGCCCTCGTTTTAAAACGCAGGCTCTGTGGGAGCCCAGGCTATGCAGGGTGATGCTGCTGATCACAGGGACCTCCGGCTGTGTTGGAAAAGCTCATGTTCACGGCGCTCTGAAGCCAAGATACACCACGGCTGAGGTGGCCGAGGACACAGGCTGCGACACTCCCTATTCCACAGCATTAAAGCTGCCAACCCTAGAGATCGAACAGTTCTCTCCACTGGCAAATTTACCGCTTGGAGAAACCTTTGAACTGACTCCCAAGGTCCTGCTCACTTCCTGCACTTGCCTCAGTGTCACCTTCCTTTGTTTGAAACCCAGATAAATACCGGCTGCCCAGTGGAGCTCTCTGTCTCACTCCTGAGAGGAAGCGTTCTGGCCCTTCCGGACACCCTACAACCACAGCACTGGTCTCTTACTTAAGTTGCCGCTGTCCACTCACTCAGGAGGCTGAGCTGGGCCGAGGCCCTGGTGACGTCCGTCTCTAAGGCCCTGACAGAGGCGTGCACGAGGTCACTCACGGCGGCCTCTGAGAGCACACTCACCGGGCATGCTCGTAGTTTCCACGTGCTGGCCCTCTTTGTCCGTCCCTTCATAAACCACTGTGACGTCATAGATGGCATCTATGTAATTCTTCATGGAATCAAAAGCAACATACGTTGCCTTTATTCTTGGTGTCAGTACGTATTTTAATACTGGGAGGCCTGGAAAAGACATTCAGCATGGTTAGTACTTGGGAATACATTAGGTCCAACATCTACACTGTTCTTCGGTTTCACAAACAGAAATGTACTCAGTGTCATAATCTCAGATCTCAGGGTTTGAAAGCACTTTCCCTTTCTATTAAATGCACGTCGGTCCTCACCACTCATTGAGCACCTGCACGCACAGCGGATGGTGGCCCTCAGTGAGTGCCTCCTCACTGCGTTCAAGGTAGCACATCACGCACAGACGCCGGGAGCCGGACTGCTGCCCGAACTACTGCACCTTAGCTCATAACCTTCCACTCCTGGCGGCAGCTGTCGGCGCCAGCCCCAAGGAAGCCCAGGATCTGCCACGGGCAGACAGGGGGAGCCCTGATTCTGAGGGCCGTGTAAGGGCGGCAGCATCTTGCCCACAGTCACTCATGATGTTTTAAGAGAGCACAATTCATTTCTCTGACTCCTGGTCCACGGTTGTGTGTGTGTGTGTGTGTGTGTGTGTGTGTGTGTGTGTGTTGTACTGGGGATGCAGGCTGGGGTGGGAACAACGGTTCCCACAGTCACATATCTGACCCAAATCCCAGGCAGAGCATTTACCTTACAATGTACAACACAAGTCTGAGCAGTGTAGCAAGCTGGGGAACCCCGCCTGTCAAGGCCGTTAGCCCTTCCTTCTTTGCCATTACAGCCCCGCTAGCTTTCCTCGTCCATGGTCCACAGCGGCACACCGCAGTGCCCCGTGCAGCGTCTAACACTACAACGCTGTCAGTCAGTCAGCAGGTGGAAACAGCGCTCAAGCAAACGAAAGCGAAACGACAGTGAAGGTTTGGAAACAGCAGCGTCGTGACGGACAGTAAGCAACAGCCACTGGTGATAGGTAACAATCTAAAAACTCCTCTCTGAGGAACACACCGGGAGCAGCTCTGATGACGTTACATACGTTTTCCTGTTAAATTCTCTTCCCCTCACCGTGCCCTGCATGTTCCCGACGGGACAGCCACCGAAGCACAGCAAGACACTGTGGCGGCCCAGGTGCCCCAGGGAGGAAACCCCCGGCGAAGGGCAGGCCGACACCCCATGGAGGGCAGCCGGGCCAGGCACTGAGGAGCACCACCAGCAGCACGCGGGTTCCGTGCCACCCGCAGGAGCCCCGAGAGGAGGCGTCCGAGGGAGAGGTCGGAGAAGCACAGAGCGCACGCCCGCCTGCCGGTGTGAGCCACACCACGGCCGTCCCCCGCGGCACAGCACCAGCCGCCTCGCCGCCCGCAGGTACCTTCCCCAGGGAGGCAGGGCGTCTGCCGCTGCACTGGGGCTTTCCAGCTGCGCAGCGCGACCTGGCACTCGTCCTGAAAGCCCAAGTCATCGCCAGCAGAACAGTTTCATCACAGTAACACAGAGACCGGCCAGCACTTCAGGGGACGGAAACCCAAATGGCAAGGTGTTCCTTACGGGCTGCTCCGGCTGCCCCAAGGGGCTTCCTCATGGCCCTGAGCCTGACCCACGAGGCGCGCGCTTGGCTGCCTTCCTGCTGGGGGTCCAGAGTCTCCTCTGGCAGCGGCCCTGCTCTTCCCATCTCTGCAGCACCCCAACTTCCACCTCCTACTAAAACAATGCACCTCACCCTCTGACCGGGGTCCACCCTCCGCCCGTGGTGTGTGTAACTCAAGCTCTGCAGTTTGTAGTGTACTTTGGGAACACCATAAATATAACAGGCTGGACATGTTGGCGATCTACGTAGGAAATGTTACACCTTAACACAGAACTCAGTCTACAACGTACTTAATATGTTACCGCACTTGACTTCCTCAGAGTAATTAACTGAGCTCAGAGAAGCAAAATGAAAAGTAACCATACCCAGCAAGACTTTAGAATGTCTAGCTTAGGACTTTTTCTCCTCTGTAGTTAGTAAAAAGCAAGATACTACCCTAAAACTATAAAGGGGGAGAAGTTAATGAAGCAGCTTGGCATGGTGGTGCACGTCTGTAATCCCAGTACTTGGGAGGCTGAGGCAGGAGGATCACTGCAGGTTTAGGGCCAGCCTGGGCTACATGGTGAGTTCAAGGACAGCCTGAACTACATAGTGAGTACCTGCCTCAAAACAACAACAAAAAAAGGTTTTTGAGGTAATAAAAAAACAAATAACTGCAGTACAAGGATGAGTGTCTCAAATGAGATGCAAAATATTCTCAGACTATAAAAACTCACATTTAATATATTTTAAGTCACTCATATCTCACTGGTGGAAACTTTAGAAGGAGGCGGCACTGGGGGGCCAGAGGCGGTGGGGTCTGAGCAGCTCAGAGTGGGGAGGGCTTGGACGGCAAACGCCGGCACCAGGCCACAGGCAGCTTCCGCAGGGTCAGCTGAGGCTTCTCCAGTGACCTCGAAGCACTCCGGTCTCAGCACTGGTTCAGGACACTCGGTCACGGGCAGTGAGCGCTGAAGCGGGACGGAGGCGTGTAAGCGACAAGGGGAGGTGTGGTCAGCGATGCCGACACTGAGGCAAGCACACAGATGAACGTGGTGCTCAGGGAGGCTCGTGCCCCGGAAAGCACAGGTCAGGCGGTGCCAGGAGCAGAGGGCACAGCCGGGGGAAGAGCCAGGAAGCATTTGCACGTGCACGTCCCCAGCACAGAGAGGAGAGGAAGCGACCGCGAGTTCCCACCAAGCATGCAGACGCTGAGGTGACAGGACATTCTAGAAGCCGCTGGAAACATGGCCTCCAAAATGGCCAGAATCAGGGGACTTGGGAACCCAGCCCCGTGCAACACTCAGCACGCTCCCTGCCAACGCCGTGCCCGTGCATTCGGTGCCCTGGCCACAGCCAAGCCCACTCTACATTGTTTCCTCTTGGCTCAGGGCGGCAGAGGACCGACCGATGGACCTGACTGTGGACAAGGCCAACACCCTGGCAGAGAAGGAGCCCCGGACAGCCAGCAGCTCCAGGCAGAGAAGGAGCCCCGGACAGCCAGCAGCTCCAGGCAGAGAAGGAGCCCCAGACAGCCAGCAGCTCCAGGCAGAGAAGGAGCCCCGCACTGGAAGCAGCTCCAGGCAGGAGCAACAGACCTGGCCGGCAGTGCTCGCCACCAGAAAAGCCCAGTTACTGTGAACCGCACGGCGAGCATGGGGTTTCACACCCCAAGGGACTCCCTCACAGCAGCCAGAGTTGGAGAAGCTCAGGGCTGCACCCATCCCACTGCCAGAGAGTTTACCGGGCTTCATTTTGGGGAGGAGTTATCTGTTTAAACCTGAGGCGCACGACAAGTACAGAACAATTCTACTTCAGGGTTTCCAGTGATACCCTCCCACAGTGACTGGGTGAGACAGACAGCCGCAGGAGACAGCTGTGGAGTGAGTGCAGGTTAGACATAAACCTGCTGAGAAGTTAAGCTCAGGCCGGAAAGACATGGGCCCCAGCCTTTGTGGGGAGAAACCAGTCCCAGCAAATGTGGCTTTCGGAAGTGGCTGGACCTGAAAGTTCTGGCGTTGAGTCCAGTAGCCGGCCTGAACCCCAGCCTGCTGCCTACATGCAGCAGAAACCACTGCTCTGGCTGCCTCCCCTCTACCACGTGGGTGCAGACATGCCTCGGCCTGGACAGTTGTCACAGTCGGTACACACAGAGCGGCCTCTGAGGCAGGACGACACCTCACAAACCCACAGCTGCGAAGTTAGGCAGAGAAAATGGCGACTGGCTTAATTCACAAACCTGCAGATCCTGGAAAGAAACCGCTTATTCAAAAATGCAGAGTCATTTTTTTTCCTTTTTTTTTTACTAAAAAAATTTCCCTTTCCTTTTTCTTCTTTGGGGGGAGGATTTGGATTTTTTTCTCCTCTTTTCTTTTGTCCTTTTAATTCTTTTTTTAAAAAATTTTCTCATCTTTGTTTTGCTGTAAGTTTTTCTTCTTTATCTTGTTTTTCCTTGTTTTTTCTTTTTTTTTGTGGTGCAGGGATAGAACACCCAGGGCCTTATGCATGCAAGGCAAGAGCTCTACCACTGAGCCACATCCCCAACCCCGTTTTTACCTTTCTGTTACTTTGCTTCAATACAATTAATCTCCTTTTACTCCTCAATACGGTCCCTTATCTTACTTTTCTTTCCTCCACCTTAGCCTCTATTGATTATTTTCTCAAATTCCATTTTTTTCAATCTCCAGTTCATCATTCAGCTCTATCCTTCCTCATTCAGCTATTAATCTTTATGAATTTTTAGACAGCTAATTAACTCTATGCTATTGCTGTTAAATAGTGTTCAATTGTTAGTGGAGGCAAAGTTGTTACATTTAGTAGCAAAGCTGTTACATTTAGCAGCTATGTCAACATCTGGTTTCTTAAGTGTTTATACCGTTTATACCGTAATTTTAGATCTCCTTTCTGTCTTTAAAGGTGGCACATTCCTCGTTCCTAGGTATGTCAATATCCAGTCTGTCTTTGATGGTGTTACTGGTGCTGATTTCATTGGTATTGCAAGGTGGCACAGTTATTGCTATTAATTGGTTTTCTCTCTATGCCAATATCTGGATTGCCTCTGTATCTTTAACAATACTGTGGCTCATTCCCAGAGAACTGGGTGCTGGGCCAAATGCACCACCTCCTCCCCTCCCAAATAAACAGAAGTGGTTGGATCATGGACAGAAGCAAAATGCATCACTGAAAATCAGACCCTAAGTAAAGACGTCTCCATACCAGGAACAAAGTCTTCCACTGCAATCAACCCGCAAAACTATGCACAAAAACAAAACAAAACTAAAAACCAATACAGACATGAGAAGACAAAGCAACAAAATGCCCGTAAAAACTCCCAACTCCCCCAAAGCTGATCCATAGAACATTAAGGTGGACAAAATCAGAAACCACAGAACCAAATTATTTGAAAGGATGGCAAAGGAATAAAAAGACAATCAGGTGATTGGCTCAGAGAAGACAGAACAAAGCAGATAACTGACTTAATACAAATGGGCAAGTTTGGAGAGAATACTAACAAAAAGCTACCTGAACTAAAACA